CTGTTGTCTGTGTTTGATGTAGCCATTGCCGATGCTACTTCTTGTAATATCTTTGTCTCTGTGCTGTTTCAGATGTCTCACTCCTCTTCTAATCTCTCTATCTTTATTTCTGCTGCTGTGGCCTGTTTGCTTCCACCTTCTGCATTCTGCTGCTAACCTCTCTTTCCCTCTTCCTTTTCCCCTCTCTAGTCTCCTTCCCCCTCTTCCTCCCTTTTTTTGAGCTCTACCTCCCATTCCTCCCTCCCAGATTCGTCCTTGGAGCCCCTTGTCCTCATCCTGGTTCTAGGTTCCCCCGTTGCTCCACAGAAGGGGGACGGGTATGTATGTGACTCACCTATTGTACTCACCTAGTTGAGGTTGCGGGGGTCGAGTCCGAGCTCCTGGCCCGCCTCTTCACTGATCGCTACTAGTCACTCTCCCTGAGCCGTGAGCTTTATCGTACCTCTGCTTAAAGCTATGTAGGATCCTGCCTCCACTACATCGCTTCCCAAACTATTCCACTTACTGACTACTCTGTGGCTGAAGAAATACTTCCTAACATCCCTGTGATTCATCTGTGTCTTTAGCTTCCAACTGTGTCCCCTTGTTACTGTGTCCAAAATCTCGGGAACATCCTGTTTTTGTCCACCTTGTCAATTCCTCTCAGTATTTTGTATGTCGTTATCATGTCCCCCCTATCCCCTCCTGTCCTCCAGTGTCGTCAGGTTGATTTCCTTAACCTCTCCTCGTAGACATACCTCTTAGCTCTGGGACTAGTCTTGTTGCAAACCTTTGCATTTTCTCTAGTTTCTTTTACTGCTTGGCTGGGTGTGGGTTCCAAACTGGTGCCGCATACTCCAATATGGGCCTAACGTATACGGTGTACAGGGTCCTGAACGATTCCTTATTAAGATTTTCGGAATGCTGTTCTGAGGTTTGCTAGGCGCCCATATTGCAGCAGTTTTTTGGGTTGATGTGCGCTTCAGGAGATGTGCCTGGTGTTATACTCACCCCAAGATCTTTTTCCTTGAGTGAGGTTTGTAGTCTCTGACCCCCTAGACTGTACTCTGTCTGCGGCCTTCTTTGCCCTTCCCCAATCTTCATGACTTTGCACTTGGGGGGATTGAACTCCAGAGCCAATTGCTGGACCAGTTCTGCAGCCTGTCCAGATCCCTTTGTAGTTCTGCCTGGTCTTCGATCGAGTGTATTCTTCTCATCAACTTCACGTCATCTGCAAACAGGGACACCTCAGAGTCTATTCCTTCCGTCATGTCGTTTACAAATACCAGAAACAGCACTGGTCCTAGGACTGACCCCTGCGGGACCCCGCTGGTCACAGGTGCCCACTCTGACACCTCGCCACGTACCATGACTCGCTGCTGTCTTCCTGACAAGTATTCCCTGATCCATTGTAGTGCCTTCCCTGTTATCCCTGCTTGGTCCTCCAGTTTTTGCACCAATCTCTTGTGTGGAACTGTGTCAAACGCCTTCTTGCAGTCCAAGAAAATGCAAATGTGTGTGTGCATGTGTGTGTGTGTGCGTGTGTGTACTCACCTATTTGTACTCACCTATTTGTGGTTGCAGGGGTCGAGTCCTAGCTCCTGGCCCCGCCTCTTCACCGGTTGCTACTAGGCCCTCTCTCTCCCCGCTCCATGAGCTTTATCAAACCTCGTCTTAAAACTGTGTATGGTTCCTGCCTCCACTACGTCATTTTCTAGGCTATTCCACTGCCTTACAACTCTATGACTGAAGAAATACTTCCTACTATCTCTCTGACTCATTTGTGTCTTCAACTTCCAATTGTGGCCTCTTGTTTCTGTGTCCCCTCCCTGGAACATCCTGTCCTTGTCCACCTTGTGTATTCCACGCAGTATTTTATATGTCGTTATCATGTCTCCCCGACCCTCCTGTCCTCCAGTGTCGTCAGGCCGATTTCCCTCAATCTTTCTTCATAGGACATTCCCCTTAGCTCTGGAACTAACCTTGTTGCAAACCTTTGTACTTTCTCTAGTTTCTTGACGTGCTTTATCAAGTGCGGGTTCCAAACAGGTGCTGCATACTCCAGTATGGGCCTGACATACACGGTGTACAGTGTCTTGAATGATTCCTTACTAAGGTGTCGGAATGCTGTTCTCAGGTTTGCCAGGCGCCCATATGCTGCAGCAGTTATCTGATTGATGTGTGCTTCCGGAGACATGCTCGGTGTTATACTCACCCCAAGATCTTTCTCCTTGAGTGAGGTTTGCAGTCTTTGTCCACCTAGCCTATACTCTGTCTGCGTCTTCTGTGCCCTTCCCCTATCTTCATGACTTTGCATTTGGCAGGATTAAATTCGAGAAGCCATTTGCTGGACCAGGTGTCCAGTCTGTCCAGGTCTCTTTGAAGTCCTGCCTGGTCCTCACAGATTTAATTCTCCTCATTAACTTCACATCATCTGCAAACGGGGACACTTCTGATCTAACCCTTCCGTCATGTCGTTCACATATACCAAAATAGCACTGGTCCTAAGACCGACCCCTGTGGGACCCCGCTCGTCACAGGTGCCCACTGTGATACATCATTACGTACCATGACTCGTTTGCCTCCCTGTCAGGTATTCTCTGATCCATTGCAGTGCCCTTCCTGTTATATGCGCCTGATGCTCTAGCTTCTGCACTAATCTCTTGTGAGGAACTGTGTCAAAGGCCTTCTTGCAGTCCAAGAAGATGCAATCAACCCACCCCTCTCTCTCTTTCTTACTTCTGTTATTTGTCATAAAACTCCAGAAGGTTTGTGACACAGGATTTGCCTTCCGTGAATCCGTGCTGGTTGGCATTTATACTCCTGTTCCGTTCCAGGTGTGTGTGTGTGATGTGTGTGTGTGTGTGTGTGTGTGTGTGTGTGTGTGTGTGTGTGTGTGTGTGTGTGTGTGTGTGTGTGTGTGACCCTACAGTTAATATTTGCACCAATAACTCATTACAGTTGTGACCGGGTGTGGACGTGTGAATTGTTCATTACTCTATAATTTGTTCATAATTGTAGCCATGTATAAACATAAGTAAATTTACTTACAGAATTCTTTACCTTTGTAACTTGTGAGTTCATAACCTTTGTACCTAGTTCAGCTATCAAAACATTGGGGGCCCAGTCCCTGGACCCATTATGTACCTCTGTAATCTGTAAATACCTTTGTAACTTGTCATGATTGTGACCAGATCTACCTGGAGTTCATTACCTTTGTAACTTGCTCAGCTATCAAAACTTCGGGGCCCAGTCCCTGGACCCATTATGTACCTCTAATTTTTTGACTACCGCCCACAGGATGGGTATGAGGTGCATAATAAACATATTAAACTAACTAACTGACGTGACAGTCCTCGAACATTAGTGCCCGTTGTTTCTCCATGCGTTATCAGCAAGTTGCGTGTGTCCAGTACTAAGTGGGAGAATGTGGTCTCCCAAACCCAGTATCGGTGGGAAGATGTTGGCCAAAATTCTAAAAGTGGTTTCATAATAAACAATTTGTTGTGTTCCATTGCAGACCAACGTTATTGCCAGCGGTTGTGGAGGTGGTTAGAGAATACTGATGAATAGTCTGAGTAAAGAATGCCTCTATGGGATATCCGGAGGTCTTGAATAACTGACCGCGAGGGTGAGTCTGCATGTTCTTTGCCTTGAATATCGGAGTGTTCAGGGATCCAGCAAAATACAACTTTTTTTGTTTACTAGAAATGCGACATAGCCAAAGCTGTTTAGTGCGAAGGGCGATGGGATGATAGGAGTCGAATTTCTGGACGGATTATAACACACTTTGGTAATCAGAAACAACTAGGAACGGCGAGGCGGACATGGTCGCTATGTGTATGATAGCAGTGAAAACACTGGCTGACTACATCAGGGAATTTAGAACCGTCAGTGTACATGGCTATAACATGAGGGTGAGACTGGAAGTGATCAATAAAAAATGAACATAAAATTGGAGGCAAGTGAGATTTTGCACATGAAAGTGGGGAAAAGCAAGCATGAATCGTCGGAACTTTCCAGGGAGGTAAAAATAAAATGTAGGATGAACGTGAGAGGTAAATTAAGGGAAGCCATGAGAGAACGAATACGATGAGAGGAGCGTAATAAATAGGGGATGATTATAAAAATTAGCCATATTAACTTCAGTTAGCGTTCTATACGTGGAAGGGTCGTGTAGGTCGAGGTAGCGAATAAAATAAGAGACAACGGGCATCGCGTCGATCTTATAAAGAAGGGACGTTCGCTACTGCATATAGGCTCTAGACTGGGGAAGATTGAAAAAGACCCGAGACACAAAGCACAACTCTAGATGATGAATGGAATCAGGTGTAGAAAGAGGAGTGCAGAAGCTGAAGAATATTATTGGTAACCGTAGCTGAGTTTAGGCAAGACCAGTGTTGAAAGAAGGTAAGGTGAAGAAGGGTTCGTGTATCAGTTCCCTAAGAAAGATGGGCTAGAGTTTTAAGGAGTTTCAGGCGGCTATGACATGCAGCTTTCAGGGGGGTTATGTGAGGCTTCCAGGACACTGAGCGATCCAACAGAAGGCAGAGCAATTTGACAGTATCCTGTTCAGGAATGCAGTCACATTGCAGGTATAGAGCGGTACGAGGGATAATACGGCGTCTTTTGTAAGTTATCTGGTGTGTTTTAACAGCAGAAGACTTCAACCCACTAGAGGTGACCCAGTCTGAAATACACACTGTTTCTGTCAGTGTTTGGATTTCCCGGTATAATTAAATGTTCTAACCTTCAGCACACGTGACTTGGCCTAACCTGGGCTTTCTCCTCACCTGACCAGTCTTTTAGCTTTCTCCTCGCCCATTTTTTTGACCTACCCTCTGTCTTTCTCTTCACCTTTGCAAATGATCTGCTTTCTGGCTTTCTCTTCTTTTCTCTCTTACTCTTGGCTTGACAATGGCCCATGAAGACCCCAAACTTCTAAAATTTCCTTTCCAAATTTCGGCTAATTGTAAATTATAATTGTAAATTTACTCTTCTGGGATGAATAAAACACAACATAGATAAGTCACATTTAATAGCATGATATAATATAATGTATGATATAATATAATCATGCTGAAACCAGCTCCAGCTGTTTATTAAGTCGTTGTGTGAGCGAAACGTTAATAAAGGATCGCATTATATTGCATTTGTCTCTTCGTATCGAGTCGAGTCGGTATTTTATACCATTTCGCTCCAAGCTGGGAGAAAAACCCACAGGTTGTGAAATTAGGTATGAAGTGGGTGGAGTTTTTTTTATTTTTTATGAGCTGAACAGCCTCTGCCACCAGAATAGTCGATGTTGACTTTGCCTCACCACCCTATTCTCGGCCTCCTCAGCTGGCCCCTGCACCACCTGCCGAATAAGTAAGTTTATTCAGGTATACACAAATACAGTTACATAGATTATCATACATAGCAGTATATGAGTAAAGTACCTGGAATAACCCCAAAAGTCAGACACAGTGACTTATTTCCATTGGGGTCCTTTTACCTTATTATTATAAAATAAAGGTTATATATTATTATTATTATTCTATAAAGGAGATAATATCTTATTATCATACTATTAAGACTATCTACCACACAACGGTCATTAAGACTACTACACGAGGGTCATTAAGACTATCTACTACACGAGGGTCATTAAGACTATCTACTACAAGAGGGTCATTACTAGGAATAAGGTAAAATTACACGTGTGTTAGCTAAAAATAATAAAAAATCATTCCCCTCCCTTTCTGTCGCTACATTTATCAGACACCTTTTGGCTCTCTTCTTGAACTGGTTCATGCTATGACTGGCTTTGGCATGTGCGGGTAGTCTGTTCCATTCCTTTATTGCTGTACAATAAAAGGTGTTTGAAGCCTGGCCACTGACTGTGGGTACTACAAAGTTGTGCTCTCTCCCCCTAGTACTATGATTGCTCTGGTTCCCAACCTTGACAAAATTGACAGCAAGATATTCTGGACACTGTTTGTGAGCAATTTTATAAACATGATTTAGCTTCAGTTGTTTTACTCTGTCTTCAACATTCAGCATATCCAACTGCTGTAATTCATCCTGGCCTACATGTTCTCTTGGACCCAGGTCCAGGATGAATCTTACCATTTTGTTCTGGGTGATTTGCAGTCTATCTTTCAGTTTTTTTTTTTTTTTTTGTCCAGGCAGAGTACCATGAAGAGCAAGCGTAGTCCATATGACACTGTATAAGGGCTAGACATAGGGTCCTGCGAGCCTCAGTAGGTAGACACTGTGCTTGTCTATAGGGGAATTTCAGTCTGGCATTCGCTTTCTTTACTACACTGTTCCCTGTCAATTCTTTTGACATGCATGGGTAAAAGGGGATTCCCAGATATCTTACCGAGGAAACTGAAGTGATGGGTTCCCCATTACACTGAAAATTAAAATTATTTACCCTTCTCAGTTTATGTTTCGTGCCAAAGAGAATGGGTACAGTTTTCCCTAGGTGTAATGATAGTTTGTTGTCTACTAACTATTTGCTGCAGGACTCCAGTTCCAGTGTTAATACATTAGCTATATCTTGTGGGTCTTTACCTGGCACTAACAGAGCACTGTCATCTGCATACAGTAGGAGTTTGCACTTGACACTGATAGGCATGTCGTTAACATAGCATAGGAATAATAAGGGACCCAGAATACTACCTTGGGGAACTCCACATGCTATCGGCAGGGGTTCTGATTCCGTTTTGTTGATTTTGACAATTTGTCTCCTGTTGCTAAGGTAGGACTTAAACCAGTCTACAGAACCTATACCGATAGCTTGAAGTTTCTTACATAATATATTGTGGTTGACAGTATCGAAGGTCTTTTGCAGGTCTAAGGTTACCATACCTATGAGGTTCCCCTTTGACATTTCAGTTCTCATGTAATCCATCAGATTAATTAGGGAGGTGTCGGTTGAGTAAGATCTTCTAAAGCCTGACTGATAGCTATGGAGAATGTTGTCAGTAAGGTACCTAACTACTTAAATAGAACTTCAGTTATTTCTCACCCCTTCTGTAATTCCTTCACAGGCGACTTAGAAATCACTTAAGAAAGCGATATGTAAAGGCACACATTATACTCTGTTAAGGTGATACTAAGTACACGTAAGAAGTTACACAAATTTAGGTGATTAAAATTATCACACAGTAACATATGTGTAAATTACCTAGGATAATCCAAAAATACAGACAAAGTAATACCAGGAAGCAAAACAACTGACACTTCTCTTAGTCAAATCATGACACATAACTGGTTAAACATCCGCTAACCTACCCAAATTAAGTTATACACATTGTTTAAGAAAACAGTTTCAATGCCTAGTAATGTCCTATGATACTGGTAACCCTGTGAATAAAACTGGTGAGTTTACCTTAAAGGGGTCGGTGACACCGTGGTATTGCGAGACACCTCGAAAGAGTGTCCTATGGTGTCCAGTGTGTGTGATGCGGTAGGTTCCCTCAGCTGTGTCCTCAGGAATGTCCCACTTAACCGTAGCTACGCTCGTCCCCAGCAGTGTGGACACTCTGTCCCAGATGAACCTGGAACGCATGACACCAGTGCACACAATATTAATTAGTTATTTAATTAAAACAGTTCTAGTTATAGGCTAGGAACAAACCAGGGAACGGGTGGGGGTTGAACTCAGGGCGAGTGAGTTGTAAAACTCCAGGCCAGTTTGTAAGCCACCGGGCCAGCTGATTTATGTATTATTTCGATTTCGTAAGTCAGGCTAGGAACAGTTAAACTACCATAGCTCAAGTCAAAACCCACCTTTACCTAAATTGCACTACCACCTTCCAGGATGCTAGGCATAATAATCAACAAAATGTCTTAATCAGATTAAGCCTCAGAATATTATTGGACTGAGCAGGTGCCAATTTTCAGAATTTTGTTACAAATCCTCAGCTGTCCCTGTCTGGTAGCTCATAGGAAGCACCCAAATTCCAATTTTTAATATTTTTCTTATAGGACTGAAGAGAATTTGAAACAACGTAACTGAGAAAAGAAATCCGAGATATATTTAAACCTTTTTTTTTTTTGTGTGTGTGTGTGCATTCTTAATTTTCACGAGTTTAGTGAACCTTTACATAACTTACCGTGCTTCTTCATTCCGGAGTCAGTACATAAACTGAAGTGCAATACATACATACAGAGGTACAATTTGAGCATACATACAGAGGTACAAAAAAATACAGATAAGAGCAGCATGCCAAAGCAACTTATACTATGCATAGCATTACGGGCTGGCTTAAAATTAACTAAGCAATGATGAAATCAGTGATAATACATTATTGTAAACAGATAACTATAAAGCACAAATGAGTATTACAAAGACAGGTCATATGGTTGCATTCATTGTTGTACATTCAGTCGTATGGAGTATTCTGTTAGGTAGTGTATTTAAAAAATAATAAAGTTAGATTGGGTTTTAGGTTTCCTTCAAGATTTACGTTTATAACATGAGAATGTCTCACTGGATCGGCTTTAAATTTTAAACGTTGGTTAACTATAACTAAGGAGAGTGTTATAGATGTATTGGCATGTCAGTTTTATGTAGATCATTCCCGATTTTAATTCAGGTGTGATAACTCGAGAGAGCCTCTTTTGACTGGCTTCAGATATTCGGCAATGGTATATCCTTCCGGCTTAAAACTATGAAAGCTGGTATATCTTACTCAATGGAGGGTTTGAATTCCTTTCAAGTGGTGCTGGTGCTAATCTGACATTTTTATTAAATCGAATGATAGATTCGCTTCCACGCAATAACTTGTACATGCCTCTCCCGACTGGCTTTAAATCTTCAATTCTGATATTTAACCGCAGTAGAAACATGCTGCACTCTGTACTATTCCTTTTGCCTGCATCGTGGAAGGACAGGAAAAAAGGCTGAGTTTAATATATACAGGGATATCTTTCTTGGATCATTGACTCAAAAATACATCTAACTTGTCTCTAATCAGTTCTGAACCTCCTGGGAAGCTCACTTGTTCTTGTGAAGAACACTTGACCATTTCCAGAACTCACATGGTCTCTTGAAAAACAACTCAAGGACTCTAAAAAGTCTCGTGAAGAACACTAGACCACCTGAAGGACTCACCTGGTCTCACGAAGAACACCAGAGCACCTGAGGGACTCACCTGGTCTCCCAACTTGCGTCTGTTGCAATCACCTTCCATTCACCCATGTCATCCAGTTGTTCCACGGTGAGGAAGGTTCCTCCCAGCTGTACATCGTTCCTCGGGTGCCCAGACACCTGTCATACAAGTAAACTTAGTAAGAACATTAAAACCAGAGGAGCACTGCGATGAACCTACCGGTTTATGCTAAGCAGGAAAAATTCTCAATCACCAATTCCCACTCGTGTGTTTGTCTAAACCAATTTCGAATGCCACCAGGAGTGATTGCTTCAATGATCGCTTGGGAATATACAGAGATTTTTTTATTATAGGTATATCATGGTGATGAAATATGAATACACGTATTTATCCTAGGATGATCCAATGAGGTTTCGTTATGAAGCTATACATTGTTTTAGTATATGTCTCATAAGTGTGAGTTTTAATGGGAGGCACAGATATGCCATAAGCAACGATATACTTGAAATATTAACGCTGATTTTCCTTAGGACAAATTTTGTACACATGCGTACGCACACACACACACTCTCTCTGGCAAGTAATGTAACGGAGGCAGAAACCATACATAGCTTTAATTAAGACGAGGTATGATAAAGCTCATGGATTATTATTATAATAAAAAAGAAGCGCTAAGCCACAAGGGATATACAGCTGAAGCAGGGGAGAGAGGACCTAATAGCGATCAGTGAAGAAGCGGGGCCAGGAGCTGAGTCTCGACCCCTGCAATCACAATTAGGTGAGTACACACACACACACAGGATGTTTCACAGATGGGACACAGCAACAAGGGGTCACAACTGGAAGTTGAAGACTCAGATGAGTCACAGGGATGTTAGGAAGTATTTCTTCAGTCATAGAGTTGTCAGGAAGAGGAACAATCTGGAAAGTGATGTAGTGGAAGCAGGATCAGTAAATAGCTTTAAGAATAGATATGATAAAGCTCATGAAGTAGGGAGAGAGTGGACCTAGCAGCAACCAGTGAAGAGGCGGAGCCAGGAGCTGTGACTTGACCCCTGCAACCACAAATAGGCGAGTATACACACGTGTACCACTACTAACAAACTTAGCTGTGACGGTCTCGCCGATATAGGCAAGTGGGTAAGGCTGAGCCACGACATCACCGAAGGAGGAGCCGGGGGAGACACCGTCGAACATCACCCCCGGCATGAGAGTGATAAGGGACGGGGTCATGTCTGGAGGTGTTGGACCAGCTGGAGGAGTTTCTCCCTGACGAGATTATGAATAATAGTAGCAATTTAGTATATTAGATTTAAAGCCTATCGGCTACACTGACATCATTTAATAATAATAATAGTTGGATATAGGCTATAACTACCAATCATACTGCGAAGGCATTTGAATTAACATTAAAGTTATTAATAACGTTAGCAAATTATTTCAATAACCCTACACAAGTCATAAGTATCAGTGATGCACCGCATCACTAATACTGATGATGGCTGAGGCGAGGTAGGAGTTAGCATAAAACTAGTAAGATGCATGACTAACGTTGATTATAGCTGAGGCGAGGTAGGAGTACTGCTGCATGTAGGCGCTGCAGGTGTGGGGACCATAGATGGTAGAAGCAGCCTCGTAGCGCTGAGCTTGGTACTCCTCCCAGGTGGTTATATAGTGGGTGTATATGTTGCTTAACCCAGCTATCACTGGCACCATGCCCTCTATACCACCAGCTGCGAATGTAGCAGCCACCTATCAAAATAAAAAAGTGTATTTTTGAAAACATATCGCGCAATAATTATTTCCGAATATGACTGTCTTGTGTTTTTAGGGTTTTTAGTTTATTTTACAGATGAAGAGCTGTTACCACTAACCTTGGTTCATCTTAGGTATACGACCACATTGTATGATGTAACCCTAAATAGTCGGCAAATACCCAGGTACCAGTTTACTGCTAGGTGAACAGGAGTTTAGTTTTTAGTTTATCATTTTTATTATGCACCTCATACCCATCCTGTGGGCGGTAGTCAAAAGATTTCAGAGTTACATAATGGGTCCAGGGACTGGGCCCCAAAGTTTTGATAACTGAGCAAGTTACAAAGGTAATGAACTCCAGGTAGATCTGGTCACAATAGTGATGTAATGATTCAGAAAACCTACTAGTTGAAGACTGAGACACTTGTGCTGCATTTGGGAATCTTTATTGAGGAAATATTTCGCCAGCCAGTGTCTTCTTCAGTCCAGTGCAGAGAAGAGCGATGAAATATGAGAAGGAGAATGAGGTAATCATTCTCTCAGCCTTGAGTCGATGTGTTCAATCCATCATTCTTCAGAGAAAATTGATGGACTGAACACATCATCGGCTCCAGGTTGAGAGACTGATTACCTCATTCTCCTCATCTTTCAACGTTCTTCTCTGTATTGGACTGAAGAAGCCACTGGCCGGCGGAACGTTTTCTCAATAAAGATTCCCAAATACTGAAAGGATCTCATTCTTCAAGCCAAATCAGCAACTCTGGAATGTCATTTCACTAGGACCCATTATGTACCTTTGTAATCTTTTGACTACCGCCCACAGGATGGGTATGGGGTGCATAAAGATATTAAACTAAAGTGTGTGTGTGTGTGTGTGTGTGTGTGGTGTGTGTGTGTGTGTGTGTGTGTGTGTGTGTGTGTGTGTGTGGTGTGTGTGACTCAACAATCAATACTTGCCACCAATAACTCATTACAGTTGTGCCCGGGTGGGGAAGTGTGAATTGCTCATTACTCTATAATTTGTTCATGATTGTAGCCAAAATAAAAAACGTAAGTAACCATTCTACAGAATTCATTACCTTTGTAACTTGTGAGCTCATTGCCTTTGTACCTAGTTCAGCTATCAAAACTTTGGGGGCCCAGTCCCTGGACCCATTACGTACCTCTGTAATCTGTAAATACCTTTGTAACTTGTCATGATTGTGACCAGACTTACCTGGAGTTCATTACCTTTGTAAATTGTGAGTTCATTACCTTTGTAAATTGTGAGTTCATTACCTTTGTAAATTGTGAGTTCATTACCTCTGTAACTTGCTCAGCTATCAAAACTTTGGAGTCCAGTCCCTGGACCAATTATGTACCTCTGTAATCTTTTGACTACCGCCCACAGGATGGGTATGGGGTGCATAATAAACATATTAAACTAACTAAACTAGGTTGCTACATCACTGGCATAATATTTATAAGTTCTAAGGGAGGTCTGTACCCCAATACAGGTTATTTCAAACATTTTAATGAGGCAGGCCTTAAAACACGTCACATATTTTTTAAAACGGAGAATTTTTTTTGCACTTGAAGCATTCTCTGGTGATAATTTTTATGTATAACCAAAACGTTCAGAGCATTCGCAATGAAAATAATAATATGGACAATAAACAAGCTTATTAGCTACATTTTTGTAATAACTTGCCGTTGTTCTGTTGGGAAAATAACTATTATTCTATATAGTCGTTATTGTTTATGAACTCGACTCAATATTATACACAAATAACCCGCACATAAAAGAGAGAAGCTTACGACGACGTTTCGGTCCGACTTGGACCATTGACAAAGTCACACTGACTTTGTCAGTGGTCCAAGTCGGACCGAAAACGTCGTCGTAAGCTTCTCTCTTTTATGTGCGGGTTATTTGTGTATCGTTCCAGTCACGGTATTGTGCCTTTTTGTTATTTATCGACTCAATATTCTTCTTCCTCTTCTTCTTCTTCTTCTTCTTCTTCTTCTTCTTCTTCTTCTTATTATTATTATTATTATTATTAATTATTATTTATTATTTATTATTATTATATTATTATTATTATTATTATAAAATAAAATAAAAAATATAATTAAAATCATTACGTTTTAACAGACCAGTAGTCCCCACTAAGGTGGGTGACGCAAAAAAGAAAAAAGTTACCACATTTACCATCATTCCTTCAATTACTGTCTTGGCAGAAGTGTGCTAACACCACAGGTCAAATGACTCTACATACTGCACCATCTTCACCTATCCTTCACTGTATTTCCCACCTCCAGGACTACAGTCCAACAAACCTCTTTACCCTGGACACTGAGTTTGTGATATCAGTCATATCCAACACTGAATGTGTCAGTATAATGTCTACTTTCGTAATACTGTCCATAAAAATGAGAGCCCTCAGAATTATTAACATATTTCCTCAGCTAACTTTATATTTAGGGCACCAGCTACCTGCTGGCTTAAATATAAAGTACCAGATGTTTGTTGCTTCATTACCAGCTTCTGGTGCCTGGTCTCCTCCCAGTTGGTCATAAGGTTCACCCACCTGGTCTCTGAAGCGGCGACCACACATGGTAGTAAATTCTCCTGGTACAGCCGAGATGACCAGCTGGCCCACGCGACCCAACTGTGTGTCCACGATCCTGGGGTGCCACGCGTATGGCATATTTAACTGTAGGAACACATCAAGATATTAGTAATATGGTGAACGTTAGCACATGACATTATACCAAACAGAAACTTAATTCGAAAATTTCGATGTTTTTAAATAAAATTTCTCCGAGTTTTATTTACATCACACTAGACACAAAGCCATCTACTTAACCACCACGTTGTATGACCCTAGTAGGTTTAGCGCTTCTTTTTTTTATAATAATAATAATAATACTTAACCACCACATCCTGGCATATAAGTGATTTATTTTTACAGGAAGCGTCATTAAGAGCAGCAAAAGTGCTTTTACTTGGCAGAAATTAGCTACATGAGATTTACCATGCCAGTGTCGAGGAGGATGGGTTTAGGGGCATGGCAGGCGACCTGTTCTGGCGAGGGTGTGTGCAGGAGACCGCTAATCATGTTCCAAAATGGGTTGCCGTCCGTCATGCCCTGGGTAAAGTCGAAAGCACCAGGACCATCCGTAGTGCCCGCCGCGAAACTGTACCCCAGTGCTGGTATACACGTCGTCGCCTGCACACACAAGTAAACATAAGGCTATATTTACCTCTCATTTATCTTCATACCCTACATATTTATTAGGTTTAAAACCTATCCACTCCATGAAGGCCATTAAGGCTGTGTTCTTCTTGTACGGAATAAAAAATAACTGCAAGGATATGGATTAAAGTAATTTAAGTATATATATATTCCGATACATAATCCCTCCTAGTGTATATACATTGTTGTTCTTTGTGTATACACATCAAGAATGATATACTGTACTCTGGAGCGTTATCCTCAAATTAGATTACACTTGTCACTACCATACGTACTGAGGACCCGTCGTTGAAGTACACAGTGTAGTTAGATATATCGATGAACTGCTGAGCAAACTGAACGGGGCCAGATACCTTGACGGCCTCGGAGTCATGGTACAGTTCCTGGGGATATAACATTAATGGTAAGATAACTGTAATGCACAGTGTATGTAAAATAAGTATTCTATATTTCGGCCTGACACTGAGTCCCTTTTCAGCAGACTGGAGAGGGTATTAGAAACTGAAGTATAGAATACTCATCTAATTTTCTATTTTATTTCTTCAATGTAGGTTCGTTCGTTCAAGTAACCAGCGTTTATTACAAGTTTGTCTTTGGGTGGTTATCAATATATAGTGTGGATTTACCCACGCCTTCTGGAACTGGTTGTTGCCAATGATCTTGGTGCTTTCTGTCATGTCCTTGCCTGGACCTGAAGCAATGCAATTCTTAACACGACCATTGCAGGTGGAGGAGACCAGGTCACAGGGCAATCCTGTGTCGATGCACCTGGGACCTTGAATGTTAGGACTCACGTCACCACAGTTGGCCTGAGCAAATGCCGCTACGAACTTTCCCTGTAAAAGGAAGTGGAAAGATAATCTATTACAGAGGTTCAGACCTGCTCATGAAGACCCCCCTCCCCACAAATGTCTTTTATTTGTAAGTAAACAAAAGAGGTGAACCCTCGAGGGGTCATAGAACACAGAGACGTTTACAACTAGCCTCACCATTTAAAACTTAGCCTTCAATTTATTATTATTATTATTATTATTATTATTATTATTATTATTATTATTTTTTATTATTATTATTATTATTATTATTATTATTATTATTATTATTATTATTATTATTATTATTATTATTATTATTATTATTATTATTTATTATGAAGCATGATATTCAAATGGAGGACATCTTCCCTACAGTTTTCGTATTGCTCTTGTCCCGTAGAATGTAATAGACCAGGGGTTCCCAATCTGGGGTGCATGTACTTCTATGGGTACATTTGCGCTTCTCAGGGGGTACATAAGGATCTGAGAGTATAACCAAGGTTTGTGTATTTTTGCTCATTAGTCACGATCAGTGTATATAACAGATATGTATGGGACAGATCAAGATATTTTATAAAAACACTGAGTTCAAGTTATCGATGTTATAAATAGTATAAAATCTTTATATAATCTCTGCACATACAGATTTCATAATAAAATAATATAAAGTCAATATAATTTTATCACCTTTTAATCCTTAATTTCTAGGGATTCATGGAAATCTGTGAGAATGTCCAACGAGTACAGAGGAACAAAAAGGTTGGGAACCCCTGTAAAACATACGCAGCAGCGACACACACCTTGTTCTCCAACGTTACCAGGATCCCCACTTTTTTTTTTTCAACAAGTCGGCCGTCTCCCACCGAGGCAGGGTGACCCCACTTCTCTCAAGAAAAAAAATATCCCTCTCTTTAGTAAGACATCCATCAGGTCCTTCACGTGGAGCCGAAAATGACTGAGAGACGCCTTTCGTTGTGGTGAGGAGGATCTATTTATCATAATAATAGTAATAATAGAGGGTGAGATTGTTACACACCTGACCAGGCAGTGAGCCAGGATTCATGGTCTTCTCAAAAAGCTGGGAAGCATAACCCTTGTTGTCTCCTGAGACCAGTGTATTGGAGAAGTTCATGGAGGTGGGGTGTACTGCGTACCAGTTCACCATCCCTGCCAGTTACGGAAATCTCGGTCAGATAATTACATTCATTTAACCGCCATTCAAAAAATAATAGTTATATTTAATTACACTCCGCTAATTACGAAGTCAGATGCACTATGTGATGCACACATGCAAAAATCAAAGGTAACAGCTGACAACATTGAAATAATTTAGATTAGGTTCGTGACCAGTAGCCTAGGGAGATTAACCCGGGTCAGAAAAGGAACTGTTGCCTATACTTATTACGTGTTCTTTCTTGTATGGCTCCATCTCGGGTATGTGAGTGGGCGCGGTTGTGAATTATATGGATCTGCTTAGCACGGGCCAATAGACTTATTGTAGTGATCCTTTATTATACTCTTATGTTCTTAACACAGGAACCAGCTACAGTAAAGACTAAATCGTAATAATACAGTTGCAAACAAATTCAAATCACAGAGCGAATGGGGTTCGAATCCATGGCAGGGGAGTCCTAAATCTTCCAGTCCAGTGCCCTAACCAGTACCCAGTGGTTAGAACGGATCCAGGGGAAAAAAAGTCACAAAAATAAGGTCACAACCTAACCTAAGCTAAATAAAATGCGACTTTTTTCTAGTGACTTTTTTCCTAGCCAGAATTGTGACTTATTTTCTGTGATTTTTTCCCAGATTTTTATCCTAGCCAAAATTGTGACTTATTTTCTGTGATTTGTTTCCGGACATCGTTAGAACACTGGCCTTGGAGTTTTAGGACACACCTGCCATGGGTTCGATCCCCACCCCTTCTGAGCTTTGTTTACTGTAAAGAAGCAAATTTACCTAAGTCCGTGCCGTCTTCGGCGACTATCTTAAGAAGGGTCATAGTTTTGTCAGTGTCGTAAAGGTATTTATCTCGCTCCTCCTGCGGGTTGTAGAGATAGCTGGAGGGTGAACGATTGATGGATGAGTTGAGAAGCTCCCCGCTGGTGAGGTACATGTAGCCAGGAACCATGCTATCGTGCGCCTGCTTGATGCTCTGGTGAAAAATTTGATACATGTTCTGGTCATGACGGGAACAGTTACTGAATAATGTATCGGCGTGAATCGTTCATAATAGACGCACTTAAGAGCATTAGAAAAATTATAAAATATTGGTAAAATTGCCGATACTGTTAGAAAAAAGGACACGTGAGGAACTAATTAGACATTTTATTCCAGCTAAGTTTCGCTTTCCAAGATATTATCAAACTTGGCTTGATAAACCTCCTGGAGAGCGAAACACTTTAGAAAACAACTGTGTTTCGCGAGAGTAGGTTAGTTAAGTAAAAGGGGCACAAATGCAACTAATGTGACATTTTATTGTGGCAACGTTTCGCTCTCCAGGAGCTTAGCCGATAAAGATCCTGGAGAGCGCAACGTTGCAACAATAAAATGTCACATTAGTTGCATCTGTGTCCTTTTACTTAGTATATTGTCGGTAATTCTACCAATATTAATTCAACAGGTTAATTACATATCTGTTTACCACTGAGAACATGCCAAGGGATTAGGAGTACCACTTAACTTGGGACTGAATAATGTGTAGACCTGGTATATATCTTAGAGCAGTGAGTGACAGGAAGTTTGAAAGGTGTGAGAGAATGAAGCAATTAAGTCACTTGTATCTGAGAGAACGAGAGCTAAAGGATTAGTGGTAATCTTAAATGAAGAATTGTGGAAAGTAAAGAACCGGAATGAATGCTTAAATTAAAATGTGTGGTTTAGATTAAAAGTTGGATGTAATAATAACAATAGCGCTGCTTCAAAGCAAGTGTCCTAACTATCCCTTCCAACCAGACAGCTGCTCCTGAACCCACCCGGTACAGAAATTGTAGTGCCGTCCTGACAGGAGGGAAGAGGAATGATCGGGAAATGCCAAGTGAAATGGGTGGTAAGGGAGTTACTGTTTGTATATGAAAGGTTTTCACACTAAAAATTATGATGGCTTAACATTTTACACTATGGTAACGTTGTGATGTGAAGAGGGAGGAATAATCTGGTTTATTTCCCTTTATCTACTTTGCCTCACCGAAAGACCAATTTAAATTTCCTTAATTTATTAATACAAGGTCTGGATGGGATGTGAGTAGCCATACAACACACTGTATGTCCTACCATAAAGACGCCTTCCACCATGGCGTCTAGGGTCTCCTGGATGAAGCCTAGACTCGTAATATCGAAGATCAGGTACTGAAGGTAGCCTGCAGGTCCGGAGTGTGTGTGCGTGCCTGAGAGAATCACGTTGTTGTTGTTATACAAATCTCCATACTCCTGCTGCAGTCTCTCCATCACCTGGGTGGTAGTTAAGTTGTAGTGAGCGACATGAAGTGGAAGAGACGTAGAATTAAAGAGGACGAGAAAGACAGATGGAGGAATACAGAGAAAGAACGAGAGGTGGAGAGGACTATGTTGTGGTTGTCATACACCTCTCCATATTCTGCTGCAGTTTCTCCACCACCTGGTTGCCAGAAAGAGGAAGAGGATGAGAGAGACAGATGAAGAAAATGAGGAGAGTGAGAGATGGAAATGATTAGCTGCCACACACCTCTTTGTACTTTTGCTGAAGTACAGTAAGTGTGAATGTGGAATATTTAATTTTCCAGACTGGAATTCATTACATAAAATAACTGACTAATATTCCATATAATACACGGTAAGCAACCATGAAATATGCGTACCTTACTGCTACTTGTTGCTAGGCTACCCGAGAGAGCCAGTGTGTGCTCGAAATTTGTAATGAAATCATATACATTAAATTTAAATAAAACATTACAGATCACTCTAATGTCAGAGCTAATAGGTGAAACAAGTTTGTATAGTTAATGACAAATATCTCCTCTTGTATCAGTCAATAATTTCTATAACAGTACATACTTAAGGAAAACTAATCATAGAGAATCGAGACCTGAGCATATTGTTTGGGGGGGGTCTGGCGCCCCCCGGCGTCAATGAGTCATAATTCATAAATTATACCTTAACGGAGCGGATACATCTTGTCGGTGCGAGGGAGAGTCTACGGGACTTTTGCTGATAATTACTAATCCACAGTTCCCAGAAGGACTCTGATAGTGCGATAACAATTACATAGTCCACCACCGCCACGGCGAAGCTAGAGAGAAGGATTTGAAAAATGCACCTGGAGTAATATTAGCCCTTCTAGTCCCTTGAGTTTTCTAACATCTAAAAATAACTAAGTGGTGGAGTATTAGACAATCAAAATTCCCTTTGTTACATTAGAATTCGTTAGTTGTTTTTTTTTTTTAGGCAGGGTGTTATGAGGTGGTCAGCAGCACCAGCACATGGTCAGTCTAATCGTGATGAATTGTGTATATTATATTCCATATGAGAAAAGACACTTAAGTACATACAGCTCATGATATTTATTATTAGAGGAAATGTTTCGCCAAGAGTGGCTTCAGTCCTCTATGTCCTGAATTGTACTTAAACGTCCATTTTCCACGTCTTGTCGGTATCATCATACCATTTTCCATTACATTCCACGGTTCTTGTGACTCATTTTTTTTTGGGGGGGGGTAATTATTATTTATTGAATACAGTCCACGTAAACGATTTATACACAATCTACAATCGAATAGCTATTTACAGTATAAATTTTATATCTTATAAACTAACATCAACAAGTATGTATTGGCTTCTCAAATGTGGATTTGAAACCCTTACGCATGATAGTTGCAGGAGGGTGTGTGGGACGGCTGGCGGGGAGACACGACCTCCTCCGCTAAAAATTCTCCTGGTAACAAACGCATTAAGAACATAAGAGTGACGAAGAGCTGCAGTAGGCCTATTGGCCCATGCTAGGCAGGTTCAACTCACACCCATCCATGCCCACTCATATACCCATCCAACATACATTTAAAGCTACGAAGCAATTTCTGTAATGGTAATTCCCATAATGAATGTAAGTAAACTAATACAGCTGATACTAGAAGAATGAAACTGATACTGAATAACTAATACTGAAAATTTCTCACTGTTGAGTAACACAACCCGGCTTACTAAACATCCTGTACACCATACTTCCTTCAAGTTAGGGGTGGACGTGAAGATGCCTTGATGCTGGTCAATGACTGTTGATACAAAAAATTTGAGTTTCCCCTCCCTTTCCTCAGATCTGACCTGATTTGTCTCATTTCCCAAGCGCTACTGGACACCTGGTTTAGCGGGTCTCCTTGAATATATAATACGATACGCTTTACTGCCATGGTCGTCGTGAATCCCTTACACCTACTGCACCTGCTCACCTAGTAGTAAATAGGTACCTGGGTATTAATTAACTTGTGGGTTGCATCTTAGGAAAGCATCACTATGGAAATAAGTAATAACTTGTTTTAGTTAGTTATGTAGGAGACCTAGATTAAATAAATTTATTATGAGTCAAGGGGAAGCTCGTCATACTCAAGGGTCATACAGGTGCCTGGGGAACAGAAGCCACGTAATCAGATTTGATCTATGGAAGGGGAGAATATCTCTCGTTCCTTAAATCAAGAGCCTTCCAGCATGGTACCCCCCATGGGAGGTTGGGTGGGCAGCGACCGCTGACAACCTCCCAGCAGCTGCCATGTCTGGCACTACACTTGTGGCCATCATCAACCTCGGCCTCAGTTGGCTGGTGTCTAGCGACGGGGAGGGATACCTCGCCTCAGATACTTCCTTCCAACAGGTATTTCTCGCTCAGTTTCTGCCGGTATTCACTGTTTTGCCGCTTCGGAAGTTTCAGTGCTCAAACGACAACGAAAACTCGGCTCCTACCGGCTCACTTGATCATATTTTGTGACAGTAAGGAACGATTTTGTTTTTGTTTATATTCCTAATAAACAGCCTTTCATGTTAGCACATAACCCTTAATGATTATATTAATATTACCGGTCAAAACAATAACTATAAAATCCAGTGTGACTGTAGTGTCAGTGGGAAGGTAGTGATCATACCACAGTGGTAACCTCCCACTGCCACAGTGGTAAGATAAGTTATATTTAATTAAATCTTTAAATGCTTTTACTAACAATCGTATAAATTTATACGATACTTCTGAATTACTCACCGCTTTCTTGGAAAAAATCTCATTGCACCCGAGTTCCCAGATGGTGTGTGACCATTATGGGGTTAACGTCACCCTATGAATATTTATAACATAGTGGTCATAGTGACCCATGTGAGGGCTGATGATAGTTAGCAAGCTTAATAATTAGTGCTTTCTACATTCACAATCACTCCGGTAAACTGACATATTCATCACGCCTCGTTTAAGTTCATTGACATGGTGATCGTCTTCAATGTAGGCAGGGTGACCCAAACAAACATATTCACCATTACTGTCTCTCCAGAAGTGTGTGTGTATACCTCACAAATCAGATGATTCACCAAACTGCAACTTCACCACTCATTCTTCAGAGTGCAGGCATTACACTTTCCAATGCTATGATTCAAATCCTGCAAACCGGTTTCCCTGAACCCTCTTCATAATGTTATCCTGCTCACACTCCAACATCACCTTGAATACAAAAAAAAAAACTTGTCAACCAAAAAAAAAAAAAATGATTCCAGAAATTCTGTGATCTTGCAGAAAACATTGTATGATAATATCATCTGAAAATTTTAATTTGGATTTTGCACAAACAAAATATTTTGACTTAAAAATATGCGATTTTTATTACAGCAGTGTTAATCCTGTTATGTCCTGGAATCATGGCTAATGTTGTTTTGGATCACAAAGCGAAACAAAAATTGTGTATATCTCTGCATGTTGGGTGCGAATGTTGATCTAGGAAAGCGGGTCCTTGATTAACGCTACGTAAATATGATATAGTTACTCAAATATAATTAACTGGTTTGTAGCAAGGTAGCGTGATGTGTAGCACTGACTCCTAGTTCACTGGTAGCGCCGTCAGCTCTACCGGAGGACCCGGGTTCGATCCTGGCGCGGGCGGAGACCTCGGACAAGTTCCTTACACCAGTTGCCCTTATTTACCTAGCAGTATGTAGGTACTTTGTGTTAGCTGACTGTTGTGCGTCGCATCCTGGTGAAGAGGACCAAATGACCTTAATGGAAATATGCCACACAGCTTGGCTTTCTTAGTTTATCCTGGGTTACTAACCCTCCGCATAAATAATTAGAAGAGAGTGTTCTTCTGGAATCATGAGGTTAACGTTAACATTGTGTAGTTCATTGTGCTCTGTTCACAGGCTGTGATTATCGCGGCCCAAGAGTCCTCTGGGTTTTAAAACTCAGAAATCACTCCCTCCGAAAGCAAAAGACTGGGCAGGCGGTGCAAAACACCCCCAGTGAAAAGTAGGGGCGCCATTGGTACATTAAAAGAAAACACAGTAAGTATCCGGGGCCCAAGACTGTTCAACAGCCTCCCACCATGCATAAGGGGAGTTACCAATGCACCCCTGGGTGCCTTCAAGAGAGAGCTGGACAGATACTTCAAGTCGGTGCTGGATCAGCTGGGTTGTGGTTCGTATGTTGGACTACGTGCAGCCAGCAGTAACAGCCTGGTTGATCAGGCCCTGAGCCACCGGGAAGCTTGGTCGTGAACCTGGCCGCGGGGGCGTTGGTCCCCGGAATACCCTCCAGGTAGCAGTTATGTATCGAAAATGGTTCGTATGAACTGGCTAAGAACTCCAGTGCTATTTAACATGTTCGTGAATGCTCCATAAACAGCAACAAAAAATGTCTTTTGCATGATGCAAATACATTAGCCTAACACGAAATTATAGATAGTTTATTGACACTAGTAAAAATATAGTTTAAGAGTTAAAAAATGAAAATAAACATTAATTATGCAGTACTAAATGATAGTTTATATGAAGGACACAAAATAAACGAGACACTGCAGCAGTGATAAACAACTTATTGTTATTATCCTCGTATAATTTATTTTGTTAAAAAAAAATCCCACTCATTTAATTCTTGCGCGATCATTTATCTGAACATTACTATACTAAGTTACATTCTGCCTAGTTTGTAAATCCCGTTTAGATTATTGAAATTGAATTTAGGGAGTCTAGTCTAGGACTGGGCGCGGGGGCGTTGACCCCCGGAAACGGTTATCATGTAAACATATTCAAACCATTTTTTTTAATTAAGATTATTGAAAAATCTAAATAAGATGGTTTTTGTGTTACCACAACTCTTGGGTGATAATTGTTACCAGAGGGACTTAGCAGACGGTGCAAAATGCCTCCACAAAAAAAAACAGGTGCGACGAGTACACTAAGAATTCGATGATGGGAGCCTAGCTTCACATGATGATGTGATCCTCACATAT